GCTCCATTCGGGGGGTGACCCTACCTTCATATCTGCGGGGAGAGTCGCAGGATTTTTGTGGGGTGGCCACTCGGAGGAAGATCTGCTGCCTCCATGAATGCCTCCGGGTCTTCACGGGCGTCCCGGTCCCGCCAGAGTCACCGACATGGTGTGCTTTGGATTCAAAGTCCCTAAAATGTCAAGATAATTGATTTAGGACTGGCAAGAGAAGTTTCTGGGGGGTAATTTAGCTACACTTTTTTTTTTCTTTTTAAAAAAAGCATGTAATGACGAATTATCTTTGTACAAGTGAACACCTGTAGATACTCACTGAAGTTAAAGCAGCTCACAGTTGGGGAGCACCCTAAGGACTACGGTCTCGTAGGATGCTTTTTATGAAAAAAGCAAAATGGCAGCCCTTATATGATTCTTATTGTAACAGATATTAAGAAATACGTTCCAGACATCATAGCTCCCAAATGGGCCTCTCGGTGCTACCTCAGAAAAGAGAAGCTGCCTACAGGGGATGCTGCTGCAAGGGTCCGATCTGCCCTGGGCTGTGTGTGGGAACGCAGCCGGTCCTCAGTATGTAGGGTTGGCTCCCCTCGGATACCAAAATCCACATGTGCTCAAGTTCCTTATGGAAATGGTGGTCGTATTTCCATATAACCTAAGCACATACTCCTGTGTACTTTAAATCATCCCAAGGTGACTTAGACAACGTAAATGCCATGCCAGTAGCTGTTCCATGTACCGTTCAGGGAGTAATGACAAGAAAAAGAAGGCTACACGTGACTAGTAGAAGCATAACCAAGCTGTTTTTTTGTTTGTTTTTGTTTTGTTTTCTTTTTGTTTTTCCCCTAAACACATTTTGATCTGTGGTTGGTTTAATCCCCAGATGCAGAAACCATGGATTGCCACAAAAAATTAGCAAAGTTACAGTTTAATGACGCAGAACCATCAAGGCAATAATTATGGAGTCAATTTCTGAGGATGACTATCTTCACGCTTAAATTTTTTAAACTTACAAAACATACTTATCCATATACGTAAATACAATGTGATTGTTTTTTTTCTCTTTTTTTTTTTGAGAGGTTTTATTATCCATATACGTGAATACAATGTGATTGGTTTTTTTCTTTTTTTTTTTTTTTTTTGAGAGGTTTTTGCTATAGAGCGCGTGTGCTCGCCAGACAGAGAGAGAGAGAAAGACAGACAGCGAGAAATCACCCCCCCAGGGGGGATGGCCACACCGCAATCCCTTCTCCTCCATTCTCCTCTCGGGATCTTGGGCACACACGCACACGCGCCCGGCGTGAGTTTTAAGCCACCGGGTCCGGGACGCGAACCGTGGTCAACTACGTGGGAGTCCAGCGACATAGCCATTACGCTAACTGCTGGTTCCCAATACAATGTGATTATTCACTTTCTACCTGTTCACAAGACAACTTGGTGAGACCCTTGTAACTGACACCCTGGTATGTACCCAGAACTAAGCGACCACCCCACTTACAGATCACACAACCTGGCGTACTCAAGACAGCCCAGTGCTCACTGCCACACACAGGCTCCCACTGAGTGCACTGCTTAAGGCTTCCTCTGACTTCTGAAGACAACACCAATAAACTAATTCTGGTCAAACCTGGACAACACAGTGCACATTTTTAAAAATAACATTTACTAAGGAAAAAAAGTACAGGAAAGAAGATACGGGAGATTTAGCTAACGTTATTGTTTTTTAATGGCAAAAGAACAGTTTTTGTTTTTGTTTTTTAAATCCCTGAATATCTAACAATAATTCAATACTTATAACATCAAGGCTTGATATATCTAAATTAAACCCTACCTTTTTGTGTTCATAAAGTCAGAGGTGTTATTTTCATCTACAGGAGCCAGAAATTTTAGAAAATTTGGCACAGAGGAAGAAGAATGAAGTTTTTTCCTCAGGGCATTACGGTAGGAGATGCTGAGAGTTTGGTTGAAAAGAGAGTTTAAGATAAAGAAATATAAAATATAAACATACAAGGCATAACATATACGCTTCAAAACAAAAGAAACATTTTGTTCTAATGCTTAGAAGAATAAATAGATAAAAATGAAAAAAATTCACGAATAAAATCTATTTTCTTGTTTCAGTTATTAAAATTCAATTGTAAATGAAATGGATCATTGAGTGAATTAAAAAAAAAAATCAGTCCATCTTCCAATAACCTTTCCTTTCAAACTGCAAAAAAAAAAAAAAAAAAATTCTAAATTAATCAGGAAGTTTCATTTTTCACATCACTGCAGTGTACGTGATTGAACACTTGTTAAGCTGTGTGTGTATACACACGAAGGCAGTAGTAGGTGAAAATAAATAAATATGCATCTGTGTCTATGAGTATGCAAATATATAAACATAAAAGTTTGCCATCAAAACCTGTTTCTATGATACTTTTTAAGAAAATTCATCAACAGTAAAAAAAAATTAGGATGGTTCGAATGACAGATGACAGATTGGAAATAATACAACCGAAAATAACCGTACGCCAACACAAAGACACACACTCAAGCGGTGGCCCCGGCTTCCTGCTGGCCTCTCCTCCCATTTAGCACATGCTCCCTGCAGTGTGAGCTCCCCGGGAAGACGAACAACACTGAACGTGGCATGCGGGTGCGCTCACCTCTTCGGCACAGTATTTCCGCTCTGTTCCCCACTGGAATTATGTTTTAGGTACTTAAAAAAGTTGGGCGAGGAGGCGGAGGGGTTAAGACGAGGTGGAGTAGCAGGAGCTGAAGACTGACCTGAGCCACTCTTAGCCTCGCCCACGCCCACGGGTGGCTGGTCCACGCTAAATGACAATTAGAGAAAGCATGGGGGGATTAGAGGGGGAAGGGAGACTGACGGGGAAGCATGGAGAAACCAGAGGGAAAGGAGCAGGTGTCTGGGCCTCGTTATTTCCTTTTGAAGTCACAGCGAGAGCACTTCTTTCCATCCCTCCTCCTCATCTCTGCTCTCTCGCCGCCAAAGGGAATTTTCAGGAAAAACCAGAATGTGTCATAGGCGATGACTGATTATTTCCCACTTGCCTATGTTCCCAATAATACTTTTATTTCTATTCCTGTTTTGGGAACTGACAGGGGGAAAAAAATGTAAAAATTAAATTAAAACATAAGCAAAAAAAAAAAAAAATCAATTTAAAAAAAACAAT